AATAATATTCTGCCTCCTGAGGCAGTAGTTTCCGCAGGTTCCGCTAATTCTGCATGTACAGCTGGTATGATTTGGGCCTTGCTAGCTTTTTGCTTATTTTAATCGAGCTACTTCTTGTAGAGTAGGAGATAGACAAGGAGCCAGAAATGGTATTACTTTTGGGAAATGTGCTATCAATCTATTCTTGTATTTATCTGTTAATTAGAAGGAAAAATGATGACAAAATCATATTTCATTGTCTATTGCATCCTAGAGAACGGTAGGTAAGATGTAGCGTACGGGACTTTTCTTTGCTAAATATTGACGGTTGGCATCCATTTACTCTATCTGTTTCTCAGGAATTAAATGATACGAATTGTCTGTAATTTGATACTTTTTTGTCCTTGAATCATAGAAGTTTATTGTAAGGAGCTCTATTTGCAACTTGTAAAATTGTGGTGGACTTCTCTGAAAATTATTTCAACATGTCCTACAGCCTGTTGTTGTGTTTTGAAATTATAATGATGAGGTGAACTGTTCTCACTGTATTAAATATCAACAGCTCGATATTAATATCTGGAGCAAGTTTTCACCTCTTCATACACTAGGCATGTGGAAGGTTGTATTCATAAATTCTTTTAGTTCACATTCTCTGCGTATGTGTCGTCGGCCATGTTCAGGGAGGGACTTAATAGTGTAAGAAATTTAGAGCTTGTTTGGGATAAATTAAAATCCAATTAAAATTGAAAATATAGCCGTTATTGGGTCTCACTCGTCTAATAAAAGTCAACAATAACGGCTAGTTTTTCAATTTTAATACGATTTTAATCTCTACCAAACACACTCTAACTAGAATAAGAGTCTATAACCTGCGTTTTTATGTGTTCTTCTTCAAAATTAAATATTCTCCCCGTTTGGTAGATATTAAAATTGAAAATATAGCCGTTATTAGGTCCCGCTCGTCTAATAAAAGTCAACAATAACGACTAGTTTTTCAATTTTAATCTTTACCAAACACACTCTTATTTTAAGCCATGGAGTTGGATGGGAAAATCTGACATCTGAAATTCAGCTTAAAGTTTTGTCTGTATGTTTATACTTCATATGATCCTTGACCTCAGCCATATGGTAACTTCTTCTGAATCTTATAATTCTGAAACTGCTATTAATTTTTGTTCTCAGGAGGAGGACAGCTTTACATGTGGGGCAAGATGAAGAACACGGGGGATGATTGGATGTATCCCAAGCCTGTCATGGATTTAAGGTTCTTGCTTTATCAATTTGGATTTACTTGGAATTCAAATTGATTGACATGTTTTCTATTTATAAAAATGAGTTTGACCTGAATTTTGACTAATATATATTTAGGCTCTGTTTGAGCCCCATTTTTTTGTGAAAAATGAGTTTTATAATAGTGATTTTTTGGAAGAACGTGGTTAAAAAGTAGAAAAGTTTTGAATTTACATGCAAAATTTTTATATTGGGAGAAATGAGTTTGGGGGAAAAATTGAGTTTTTAGAGAATTTAGCTCAAACGTGGACTTAAATGCACTAATTTTTAGTAGCAGAGAAACAAGAGTCCAGTTTTATATTTCGTGAAGAATATAGAAATTGAATTAGACATGAACTTCTGGAGAACCTTCCCTTCAAATATCGACTTATTTGGATGGATATGCCTACTCAAAGGGCATTATTTGGTTTTTGGAAAATATTATATATACAATAATAAAAACTGTTTTTAAGTAGAACCCGTATCTTTTCTCCATAATGATCTGTACATACGCAGAATGATCTTTTGATTTCACATTGCTCAATATGAAGGTTTTCTTCATGCAAGAGTACTGAGCTTTTTATTTAATATGAGAATATAGTACTAAGCTGACATTCTTCAACAGTGGTTGGCATCTACGCTGTATGGATTCAGGCAGTATGCACCACTTTGTTGGTGCTGATTTCTCGTGCATAAGCTGGGGTCATGCTCAATCTGGAGAACTAGGATATGGACCCAGTGGGCAAAAGTATGTGATGCTTATAATATATGAATTTATTGTTATTAATCATATAGACTTGTAAGCACGCCCTCGTAAATTTATGCATCAACTTTACTATTTGTGTGTTTCATCTTCTGTTTTTATCTATTGGCCTTTGGCTTCTGTCTCTGCTTTGCAGATCTTCTGCTGCTCCAAAAAAAGTAGATATTTTAGAGGGAATGCATGTTATCAGGTTCGTATTATTATAAAACTATATTATCTTGAGAGTTGTGTTATCGTAACTTATTTTAGGCCTTTTGTTATTGTAGTGTTGCTTGTGGATTTGCCCATTCCATGGTGATCGTTGATAGAACCAACATTGCCGATCGACTTGAACAGGTAAAGTTTTCGGCACTGAACTAGTCTGATATCTTTATCATGCAACTGACCCCAAAATTTTCGACCTTCCAATTCGCGAAGTACTGAAAAATCAGTATCAGTTTTGCCTTTGTCGTCTACATTATATTTGGTTAGACTTCAGAATTATTATGTGTAGAGTTTGTATGTGTGAATCAAATTTGTGATATGTGAAACGAGTTTGCTCCAATGCAATCCGGTCAGCACATGTTACCTTTCTGCACGTGCACATCTGATTTTATTTAGTTTTACTTCTTAATCATTCGTGGTCATTTTAAATGGCTTGTTGGTCTGTATTGTTGGATGTATGGCTGATGAGGTGCAGAAGGGTATCTGATTTTTTTTAATTTTTTTTTCTAATATCTTAACAGCTTGAAATATATGATGGCAAAGATGCTGGCAAAGGTATAATCAAATGATTGGCATTATGATTTTGAGAACGTCATTAAATAAATTCTCGAGGGTTAATTTCATAATCTAGTCTTGACTAGTTGAGGATGTTCCGAGATTTCTTGCATCGATGTGTCAAGGTGCAGTACTGCCGAATATTTTATATAATAATGCTGATTTCTCTATGCTGCAGTGAATGAAGAACCCGAGAGCGGAACTTCTGTTCCTAACAAAGTTAACAAAAAGGGTTCTGTTAAAAAATTGGAAAACTCAAAAAAGAGGAAGAAAGTGGAAGATTCATCCGAGTCTGAGGACGACGAAGATAGTGAATATGACAGTGATGGACAACTGAATGGCAATGCAGAACACGGAAAGAAACGGGGTGGAAAGTCTTCAGGCAGAGGACGTGGCAAAAATGCTGGTAAATCAGCCACGGAAAATAAAGGCAGTGGTCGGGGACGGGGCCGCCCCCCATCAGCAGCTAAAAGCTCGCAGTCTGCCGGGGAAAAAGGGTCAGGTAAGAGAGGAAGGCCTAAGAAGTCATGAGGTTTGGTTTTTCCTTGTCCACGTGGGAATTGGGTCGTCCATTGAAGAAGTATACTATGACTATTTCACAATTTTTTCTGTTATCTTCCATTTTTCCCAATGCAATGGGATGCACTTTAACCTTCCAAGAAAAATGTCATCCTTTATCTATTACATTTGATTACTTGTATCTTGAAATGTTCGACTATGCCGTTTTACCCGAAAGAAATGGAAGAGAAGTGCCGTTTCTTCTGTTGCTTAATCTGTGGTATATCATTCACTCCTCTTTAGAAATCTGGCCCTGTTTGGTCCACATGAAATTCTGATTTTAATCTAAGTCAAACTATGAATAGTAACCACATTTTTCATGGGTCCTATAACTTTTCAACCACACATTTCAAAAACTTATATCACAATTTACTAAAAATCAAATTTTAATTTTCACCAAACACCCTCCTGATTTTGTGCCAAGTAGTGATTGTACGCCAGTGACCAAGAAAGAAATTGATTTTCATTGGATAAAATTTCAGATCTTGCTTGTGTTTCTATCAAATCTCTACCGAACGGGGATTAATGTGATCTTTTATATGTATGAAAACTTACTCATTTCTAATTGTTGACTTTTGGTAATTGAATAAAGGGGAAGAAATCATTTACATATGCCATTAGCAAAAATTAGTTAATTAGTCATCACTAACCACTTTTATATAACAAATAACAAAGTCAATGTTCCATAATGATGATGTTTAGACTTTAGTTGAGATGATAAGATTAAAATTGTGGAATTTGGATAACAAAATGCTTGTCATCAATTATTATTTAAACTTTTTGGCCCTCTCTCAATACAATTTTGACAACTTTGATACATTACATCTTATTAAACAGGAAAATGTTAAAGTATAAACGTCGATATATAGAAAAATGTATTGATGTCTTCTCATTTATTAAGAAAACTCGATGTCGATGCCCTTATATATCAAGAATATATTGAAAAGACAATAAGTTCGGAGCAATGGACTTGGATTCAATTGATTTTTGCCTATGCAAATCATTCAGAAATTTGCAAACGTGATCTCCAAACATTTTCATTTGAGCACTCAGGTTCTCATTCATTTATATCTCCGTATGTCTCTACTTGATAAAACAGTATACAATTTCATCCATTATTTACATGACTTACATGTGATCACACAATTATGCATTTCGCCAAATTCATTTAATTTTTTTCTAGGTTAAAGAAAATACTTTAGAATAAGAGACAATGTAATTGTTTGATAGAATTTTCAACTATTTTCATCTAATGATAAATTTTTGATAGGTTTTTTAGATTTTTTTTCCCTTATTAAAATCCTTAAATATTTACCAGTTCCAGGAAATTGATGTATACTACTCTCTAGTCATGGAAAAATTCAACTAAATACCATAATTAAGTGAAAAATAATACATTTCATAAAATGTGGCCAAATGGCTTATTTTCCGTAAGTGAAGGACTAAAAGATAAAAACTCAGGAGTTAGGAATATTATGAGCAACGGCACTCGGCTGCGCTATATACTCGGAATCGAAACGCCAAAATGAGCTATGTTTAAGGCAGGTGTTGAGTTCCGACTTCCCAAAATGCCCCCTTTTATCCGCTACAATTCCCAAGAAAGTATCTTTAAACTGAAAATTCTCCATTCGGAGTAACAGACGAAAATTTACACACACAGAAATAATCAAAAATGGGAAGATCAGCTCCATCATGCTTCAAGATCATCACTTGTAGCTGTGATTCCGGCGATCATGATGATCTCCAAACCCCCGAAGTATAAATTTATACTTAATCATATATATGTGTAAATATTACTGTATATACATAATTCTGTTTTCCATTTGGTTTTTGACTTTTGTTTGAATGATTTGCGGTTTTTAGCTTTCAATTTGAAATCCTTCTTTTATGTTCAAATGTTTATTTCAATATGCAGAGTTTTGAGATCATTAATGCATCTGCTTTGTGTCTTGTGTTTGGGATTGGCTGATTTGATTACTCGTTCTCTTGGACTTTGAATCGTGATTGTTAAATTCGTGATAGGGTCTGCATTTGTCTATTTAAGTATGTATGTTACAACTTGCTTCTCAAGTTTAATTTTCGGACATCATCAGCTGAATTATTATTGCTCATTGCTTATGTTGCTGAATAATTGACGAATTTTAATGCTGTAGATAGGTGCGAGCATTTGATCTAGAATTCAGCTATAGCAGACTTGTTTCTCATTGCAGAATAGTTGATACGTGTAAAAGTCCATGACATATTCGATATGTAAAGATGAAATAGAACCTGTAGATGGTGATCAGATAAATATGGTTACTATTCTTATTCAAACATCTTTATGATGTGGAATGTTTTACTAGGGTTTCGTTTGTTCTTTTCCTCCTCCTCATGTTGTAGCATAATTTATAGAGAATGTCTGTGAATGCCATTACATAAGACAAATACAATCCTGTTGGCAATCTACTTTATTTGCATTCTGTACCTTCAGGTGAATGTCTCGCATAATTATGCAGCTAACCTAGGTCCCAAATAATTATTAGGTGGATCTCATTTATGTTTCATATTAATTCTAGTTAGTCTGCAGATATATTTATGCACGGAGCCCTATGCATTATGAGTATGTAAACAGTTCATTTCTAGAGGAAAACATAGATAGAGCTTTTCTCCTTACATAGTATAACCGATTGTTATTCAATAGAGGATCTAATAATGCTCCTTAATGATCAATTCATTATCTATGCATGTTTTTGTACTGATGTTATACGTCCATCTTATAAAAGAAGTATCATTCCTTGAAGCTCTCATAGAAGACCAGATAAGTTGTATATTAGTAATTTTTTTAATATTAATTTAAAATGGGGAATTATGTAATAGGCTTTTTTGAAATACATTGATTTCAGTTCTCATTAATGTTATTCGATTCTACTTGCAGAGCAAGAGTTCTAGTGACAGAAGGGGATGGGGCTTTCGGAAGAGATCTGCTAGACATCGAGTGTTGAGCAACTCTGTTATCTCAGAAGCAACTTCCTCTGCAAACAAGGAAACCTCAGAATCTACAGCGGTTGACTTTCAAGAGAAGCATAAATCTGTTCCAGAAAAATCCTCGACAGATGGGAAAAGTGAGTTGTCAACTGAAGTAAACTCAAAATTATTAGATGCTGTAGTTGCAAGAGATGATGATGCTACCCTAAATGAGTTCAATGTCATTTTAATCCAGGCCGCCATTAGGGGATTTCTGGTATGTACTTTTACCAAGTTAAATTTCAAACTTTATAAAGTACAGTAAGTGCAGTTTTATGTATTATTTTCGAAATGCTATACCAGGCTCAAAGAGTTCTATTGAAGAGTAAGAATATAATCAAGTTACAAGCTGCCTTTAAAGGACACTTGGTTCGAAAACATGCCGTGGGAACACTTCGCTGTGTTCTAGCAATTGTCAAAATGCAGGCACTCATTCGAGCACGTCATGCCCGTAGACGTATAGAAGGATTAAACTCTTTTGAGAAGCAAAGTGAAAACTGTGGGAATGCTTACCATGATTCGACAATTGTGGGCATGGTACTAGCTTGTTACCCTACATTCTCCCTCACCTTGTTTCTTTTTATCTTCTCTCTATTTAGGATTGGAAGCTCTTTATTTTGGATGTTGCCTGATGTCAAATAATTTTAAAGGATTTGAGAGCTCTTGTGAATATGTTTCTGGAAAGTTCAATACTTAAAACGGGGTGCTAAAAGATCCATAAATGTTTCTAAGCCCCTCTTTGGCCCCCATTTTCTATAATTCATTTTTTTTTCAAACACATTTTCAATCACATATTTCATGGGATCCTCAACTTTTCAACCACACATTTCATTAACTTTTATCAAAATCTACTAAAAATATGATTTTTTGCTAAATCAAACATGGACTAAATCTTTAAAGTCAGCTGTTATGAAAAACCAACCCACTACAGTTGCCTCCATGCTTTTTAGCATGTTAAGTGCTTGATACTGACAGTCTTTGGAATTATATTCCCATTCTCCTTTCTCAACAAATAAGTGTATTATAAATGAATTTATGTTTGGAAAATTTCACTGCTGCCTCAATAGCAAGTTGATTCTGAACAATGAACATCTTAAAAGAAGCATGATCCCCAACCTTCCACTATAGTTTCACAATCAACTCTTAATGATGGAAATGTCCAATTCTATTGTTTAATCGTCATGCTGCCCTCACATGTTCAACTGCTTGCACATGTTCAATTTTATAAAGCTAGAATATACTTCCCTGAAATTTGAAGCGAGTCATCTTTCATATCGTGAGATATGAAAGGTTCATTCCTTGGGGGGACTGACTATGTAACAAGGGTTGGGACCAATATGCTACTTTTTAAATTTTGAGGACCAACTTGCTAATGGGATAATAGGTTTGGGACCAATTTTTCACGTTTCGATTTCTTATTATATCAAGGAACAAAGGAAATTTTATCATTCTAGCTTTTCTTTCAATAATTCTTTTTGCTGTTTGCAGTTTATTTTGTCTGATACTAAACTTTATTTTCAGAGTAAAAATGAAGCCAATCGTAATGTCACAATTTCCATTGAGAAGCTACTTAGTAATGGATTTGCTCAAAAGGTAAATGAACTGATACGTTTCTTTTGGTCAGAAATTATATCCATTCCATATACATACAATAGATATTAAACTTTTCTTGATCTTGACGTCGCTCCTGGAACATAATGTAAGCTATTGGACTCAACACCAAGGACCAAATCTATAAACATCAAGTGTGATCCTTCAAAATCTGACTCAGCCTGGAAATGGTTGGAAATGTGGATGTCAGTTTCATTGATGAGCAACAACAAATCACAGGCATCAGGATTAGCTGCAGAGCAGCATGAGAGAGAAGAAATTGGTCATCCTGACAGCAAAGAAGACTTTGTAATTCCATCTGAATGTACTTCTGAGTCAGTAGGCTTGAAATCTTGTGCAGAAGCGTTGTCCGGTGCAACTGAAAATGCTGACAACTTGGACTTACAGTCATGCAGATCAACAGCACCTTTGCGGAGTCAAAAAGTGGAGCTGCCTGAGCCCCAAAACTTTAATGAATCAAATATGACATGTAATGTAACCGATTCTTTATCTATTCCACTGAATGAAACAGATATGCTTCCGAAGGTGGAATCCAAATCTGACCCAGGTAAGCCTGAAAGAGAACATGAGCAAGAAATACACCATGATGAAGAAAAGTTTTCCACCAAGCAACCTGAAACTGAGATGTCTGAGCTCTTTGATGAATCAAAGACCACAAATAATGTAATCAATTCTTTACCAATTCAGCTGAATGAAACAGACTTACCTGTGAAGGTGGAACCTGAATCTGACCCTGGTAAGGTTGAAAGAGAACGTGAGAAAGAGATACACCGAGATGAGGAAAAGTTTTCCACCAAACGACCTGAAACTGAAGCACCTGAGCCCTTTGATGATTCAAATACCACGTATAATGTTAACAATGCTTTACCAATTCAGCTGAACGAAACAGATTTGCTTGCGAAGATGGAACCCGAATCTGACCAATTGAAGTCTGAAAGAGAACATGACCAAGATATACAGCAGGATGAAGACAAGTTTTCCACCAAGCAACCTGAAACTGAGCCCCCGGAGTCCTTTGATGAATCGAATACCACATATAATGCTATCAATGCTTTACCTATTCAGCTGAACAAAACAGATTTGCTTGAGAAGGTGGAACCCGCATCTGACCCAGTTAAAGCTGAAGGAGAACATGAGGAAGATATACACCATGATGAAGAAAAGTTTTCCACCAAGAAACCTGAAACTGAGCCGCCCGAGCCCTTTGGTGAATCAAATGCATATAATGTAACTGATTCTTCACATATTCAGCTGAACAAGACGGATTTGCTTGCGAAGGTGGAACCTGAATCTGACCCAGGTAAGGCTGAAAGAGAACATGAGCAATCTATACACCATGATGAAGAAAAGTTCTCCACCGAGCAACCTGAAATTGAGGCAAATAAGTTTTCATTTGGTTCAAGGAAGACAAGTAATCCTTCTTATATTGATTCCCAGTTGAAATTTCAAGAACTGAGTTCTGCTGCTCAGTTAACCAGTTCCACTAGTCATGGTCTTGCAACTGAATGCAATGGTGATAGGACTGATCAACAATTTGGATCTAGCGAGGTTGGCTTGCCTGAAAGTTCTATTTACCAAGCTTCAACAGTTCAAGTTGGTACCCTTGGAAGTGGGACTGAACTTCTCATTGCTTCAAACCCTGATTCACCAGATAGGTCTCAGGTTGAAGCTGTTGAATTTGAACCGAAGCAGAAGATTTCTGATGAGACCGACCATCCCAAGAGCAATGAGAATTTAGAAGTTGAAGCTAACGATAAGCCCAGCATGCCAGCGACTGATCTGCCATCTATCAATTCAGATCAGTTGGAATTAGATTGTGGTGTTAACTCTGCGAATGTTGAATGTGCTACTTCAATCATTCCTATAGATTCACCACAGGTAGATAAGAAGCCAGATACAGATCCAAGCAAGATGCACCTGGAGGGGGGATCTGAGGCAAGCCATCCAGTATACAAGTCATCATCTGAAGCATCTCCCAAAAGCCATATAACTGTTTCTGATTCTCAAGCAACGCCTTCCACCCAAGTATCTAAAGACTTCAAGGAAATCAGGGACAAGAAAACAGAATCCCATCGGAAAAGTAGGTATCCATTGGCTGGTAAAGGACCCCGTTCAAATGATGATCATGATTCAGTTGCAAGAAGTAGCTTGGAACAGTTAGCTATGGAACATAAAACTGGAATGCGCCGAAAATCCTTTGGTTCCGCAAGACCTGATCATGGTGATGAGGAACAAAGAGATAGCAGTAACTCTCTCCCAAGTTATATGCAAGCAACTGAATCTACAAGAGCCAAAGCTATTGCAAACAGATCCCCGAGATCAAGTCCAGATATGCAAGACAAGGATATTTATGTAAAAAAGAGGCACTCCCTCCCTTGCGGGAATGAACAGCAAGGATCGCCACGTAGACAGTGGTCTATGTCCCAGGCACAACAAAATTCACCGGGAAATGGAATTCATTCTCCTCAAGGTATTATCTAAATTTCCGCCTGATGTTTCAAATTTGTTATCTTGCATTATTCTTGCATATTTAATTCATTGAGCTTAGTGCCATCATGCTTGAAAATCCTCTTCTTGCGTGATATGTCCATGCATTAGCAATATGTAAATACCGACTTCTAAATCCCCAAAAGCAGATGTATCAATATGAATCGACTTATTCTTGTAATTTATTATTGGGGTTTCAACTTACCCGTGCATGTTTAGTTCATTTTATTTTACAAACTGAACTTCAAAAGGAAATGAACGAGACTTGCTGTTAGCATGCAGTAGAAAAATGGTGCAGAATAAAGTAATTGTGATACATATCCTTTTCTAAGGTAAAACAAGAAAACAATCAGCCAATATCTTCCCTGAGCATTTTCCACTGCAACCACTTCCTCGAATTTTAGTTGTCTCGTTCAGTCCGGAATTGTCCTTTTATTCCACTGATATAGGTCTGGTAATGGGAATGAATCGCAATCACAAGAGATATCTGAGGGAATGAGGGCAAACCCAACAGAAACCTTTGTGCAAGTCTAGGCTCATAAATACAAGTAACTAAGAGAGAATTAGAGAGCTCAAAGAGAACAGTTACCTTCTCTAGTTCAAACGAAAGAATTTTGGCATTAACTCAAAAGGATAAAACCTATACAGAGGATCTTTTCAGTGGGGGCAGTTTTTGTGTGTTAGAAGGCATGAGATCCTTTCTACAGTTATTCACAGTGAAAAATTTGCAATGATGAGTGGACATAGCTTTTACATTTAGAGTGAACCATTATAAATCTATACGCGCTTTGCATGTTTTGAATTTTGTTTTGCTTATTATTGCTCTCGTAATTGGGATTAAGGCTAATTCCTTCTGTACTTGAAATACCATATTTGCTTCTAAGTACTAATATTTGGCATGCTATGTTTGGACTCTCATTTCAGAAAGGAGGTGGCGGAGATGAATGCAATCCTACAGAACAAATAGTATGTGAAAAGTCTTAAATAACCGTTTTATGCTGTGGCTGGTTTGTCTTGTTTTATTACATTATTGGTTGTATTTTGCGTGAGGCTTGGTGTAAATTTCTGTGTGTATTATTTGTATCTTTATAATTATACGATATCAAATGATACTAGATAGAAATAAAGAACAGAGCCGTGAGAGATGTGTGGGATATTTCATGTTTGTTTGTTGCCAATTCGGCTTTTTCTAATTAACATGCTAAAAATATTTCTTGATTGCTATTGGTGCCAATTTCTCCTTGATTAGAGGTCTCAATTGGGCCGGTTCACTTACACATGCAAGTCGAGGCCGTTGAAATACCCCGCTTGTTGACCCTAATGCGTCAGCACACGGACACCCAGTCCGAGCAAGAAAAAGAAAAATTTGCTTGAGAGTCAAAAGGGACCAAAAAGAGTACGAATGAATTCTAGATTAGATTTACAATTGTATAATTAATATTTATTTTCAATTTAAATTAGGCTGGCAATTGCATAAATTCTTTTCCAATTCAAATACCAAATCGAGACATTTAGTTGCAGCTAGACAAAATATTCGTATTTGATTTATAAAGAGATTTATATTTTGTACAATTTTATTTTCTGTATAGAGTTTATACTATAGTTCTTCTGTGGAAGTAGGTCACGAGATTGCTCTATGTTTTTCTTTCTATTTTAATTCCAAATTTCATTCATTCGGCAAAGTTCAAAATAATTTATTTTCATGACATCCGAAGTTGACGATTGCACAACAAATGAGAAAAGTGACAACTAAAATAATTTATTTTTGTAGTTCCTAAATAAAGTTAAACCCTTGTTTGGTGCTCATTCTTTTTTAAAAGAATAAGTTTTGAATAGTTTTTTAAGGAAAATGTTCGGTTAGAAAATAGGAAAAAGGTTTTGCATTTACATGTAGAATATTTTATTATGTGAATTTATGGTTAAAAATGATCCCATAAAAAAAAGTTTTTGAAAAGAATGACAATCAAACATGGGCTAAATATCGCAAACACAAAATTGAATGGGAGTGTCAGTGAATCAAACCGAACTAATCCATGGACTGATCGCCAAGACTCCGCTCGACTCGATCCATGGACCTGCCTGTGACAAGCTGAGCGTATTGACTTGCTAGATTTTAGATTTTTTAGATAGAAAATTTAAAGAAAACATAAAAAAAGTTATATACGGTATAAAATGTAAGAAACTTTTACGTAATTAAACCCTTATCTGAGACCCAAAATGTATTTCTAAATAGTATTTTTTTTTTTTTGGAGAATATGTGATTAAAAAATAAAAAGTAAAGAAAAATTTTCGATTTATTTGTAAAATTATTTTATTGAAAATGAATTTTAAAAAAAATAAATGAGACTCAAACAAGGGCCAAACAAAACAATAAGTGAAAATTACACCCTTTCATGGTTTTTAACTTCTCAATTAAAAAATAAGTTTTAAAAGTTTTTTTGTTCAAAAATCAGGTGATAATTTATCTTTTAAATATTAATAATAATATTATAAAATTAAATTAATCTACATATCCACCCCATTCATCCCAACCCAATTTCGCTCTCAAACCCTAAATCATTTCCTACCCCTTTCTCTACCCACCCTTTCATCTCTATTCCGACGTCGATGCACGCGTTGTAGCAAGACACCATCACCACTGCAAGCAATAGAGATTTCTACGTCACCTCGCTATGTGCAACGATGTTCGTTTGATTTTTTTCTAATCTGATATATTGTAGGTGGTTTGTTGGTAGGTGGTTTCAGATCAGATGTGCTACTTGGTCGGAGTTTTGGGGTGGTTGTTGGTGTTTTGTAAATGGTGATGATAAGAGTTTGATTTGTGGGTGGTTTTTTAATCTGTGGGTGGGTAATTTGTGGCGACGGTGGTTGTGGAAATAGCAAAGCACCATTTTGCAATTTTTAATTGGATCAAAATTAATAAAAGTTTTGACTTTTTTTGTCAACTAACGGTCAAATGAAGGTTTTCCATTAATTTGGACTCCAACTGCATATTTATGAAATGTTAGTGACCTTCGTTGGCATCAAATGAAGGTTTATGGTGAAGTCTGTAAAAATTAAAATGTTAGGGACCGCTGCTGCAATTTTCCCTACGAAATTTTCACCAAAAAATATGGCAAGTTCGCGACGCTAATGGGCTTNCTGTAAAAATTAAAATGTTAGGGACCGCTGCTGCAATTTTCCCTACGAAATTTTCACCAAAAAATATGGCAAGTTCGCGACGCTAATGGGCTTTACTTGACGAGCTCTCGACACAGCCCAGACCACGAACTTAGTGGATTGAGCTGTGCACTGCCGATCCGAGGCCATTGCCACCTCGACAATAGTGCATACGTCAGCAGGGAAAGATGAGAAAATGTAGAAAAAAAATGAAGAGGCAAAATGCAAAAGTTCAGAAAAACTATGTTTCTTGGGAGATGCTACGTGTACACAATGGTGTACACACGACTTTACACTCCCGTCTGACCCCTCACATGGAGGGGGACCCACACACAATAAAATATTCGTGGCCCCCCTCCATCCATGTGAGGAGGGTGTAAAGCCGTGTGTACACCATAAGTTGTACACATAACATTTTTCATGTTTCTTTCCTCTCTATTATATCTGTACACTATTATGTATAATCTGGATGTACAGAATTAAAATTGAAAATTGATAGGGTTTTGAATAAAGTTATGTGTACATAATTCTTTACACAATCCTTTACACCCCTCACATGGAGGGGGGTCCACACATAATAAAATAATTGTGGGCCCCCCTCCATGTGAGGGGGGTATAAAGGATTGTGTAATGTATGAGGTGTACACGTAGCATCACTCTAGAGTTTTTTATGTTTCCATTATTCGATTGCAAAAAGCAATTGAATATGTTGTTGTATTAATACATTTGAGATATCGAATCAAATGACTTGTATTAAGGGAGGATCACAGAAATAAAAAAGGATTACTTTGGCTTCTGATGTTAAATCTGTCAGGTAAATCCTCTACATATATAAAAGAGGAGAATGGTTGTCACTGTTCCTGAGCCATTTGGCCACTAAAGCCGAGCCATATTTCTCTCTCTTTTTTTTTTCCTTCCCCTCGTGGCTTTCTCTCCTCAAACACGCCACTCTCCCATTTTCCCATCT